CCCCCCCAAAAAAAAAAAAAAAAAAAGAAGAAGAAGACATAAAAAAATAGAAAACAGCCGAGTCCTGACTTCGATTACGGGCAAACCCGGCCCATATGCCTTTCATCCATTCAGGGCATACATCGGGTGTTGGTCCCCTGCTCACCAAATGTGCAAGAAGAGTATGAATGTTTTGCTAGAACATGAGAACATTGAGAAGATACACCCGCATATTTTTTGTCTTTGGTGCATGGGGTAAGTAGTGGAGCTAGGCCCATCCTAACACTACCACCTTCCTAAATCAGGCTAAATGTATGTGATTGCACATGACAGCAAATTTAATACAGCCTATGGGCCTCACCACACTACTCACCCAATCCACAAAAGACAAAAACCATGCGGGTGTAATAGGGGCCTCACCCGTTGTTGTTGTTTTTTTTTTTTTTTTTTTTTTTTTTTTTTGTGGCACCCCTGGAGACAGCTTGAGGGGCTGGTAGGAGCAGACACATCAAGCTGGCCTCGGGAAGGCTCCATCTATTGGTGGGCAGCTGCACCTGCTGGGAAGCGGCCCCAGCGTCCCGATGACAAAATTACAAAATTAAAGATGTTATACGAAGTCCCATCATCGGTAGCATGAGGGGGGGACCGCACTTCAGCCCACGAGCAGAGCGGCCAATGCGGACTTGCATTCCCAGGTGAGGGCCCACTCAGAGTGTAGCGCAGTGCATCTCCTTTTTTTTTTTTCTTTTTTTTTTTCCAAGAAGAACAGGCCGAGGCGGTGATAGGGATGCTGATTGGAGCAGACACCAATATCACTCTCGGGAAGGCTCCGTCTATTGGTGGGGAGCAGCACCTGCTCATGGCTGCAGTCAGCAGTGCACTATGGGGCATCGCAACTTCCACATCCTAGTCTCACGGCCTTGAAACCCCCTTCTGTCAAACCCCCTTCTGTCAAACCCCCTTCTGTCTTGCATCGTCGACCGTGAGTGGTGGGGCGAGGCCCTAGCCTAAGCGAATCTTTTTTCATTTCTTTTTTTTAATGTTAACAGCAATCACGTCCCAAAAAACAAAAAAAAAAGAAGAAGACCAAAAAGCCCTCGTGACTGATGAATCTGACTCGGGTGGCGCTTAGACGTTCACGTTTAGGCTAGGCTACAGTCTTCCCCCGAATACAGTACAACGTACGGTCATTATAGCTGAATCTGGGGTACCTTTCAGTCTAAGTTCAGCTATAATGACCGTGCGTTGTATTCGGGGGAAGACAGTAGGGAGACGCAATTTCAGCTGGCAAACAAATCACTCTCTGGAAATTGACTGCAGACTCACACCCCCAACAACCAGCAATCCTCTTCTTTAAGCATCCCACACAGCCCAAAAAAAAAAAAAAAAAAGCATCACACACAGAGCCATTGTGTTTAACTCTCATACATAATATCACCTCTACTTAGATTCCCAAGTCAGTCACTCGTCGTCTCGCTATTCTCTCCTCTCTCCTCTCCGTCTCGCTATTCTCTCCTGTCTCCTCTCCCTTCCGTTCCTCGCCTCTGTACTATTTTTGTCTCTTCTCATGCTGCTCACAGGTTGCGATATCATTAAAAAATTCACTATTTTGCAACACATGAATACATTGCCTTTCCCGCTTCTCTCCTCTTCTCTCCTCTTCGCCATGATCCTCCACTCCCCGCCTCCGTCCTATAAGTTGCCTTCTACTTTTCTCTCTTCTCTTCACTTCTCCACTCTTCTCTCCATCTTCTATTTTCTCTCTCTTTCCTCCTCTTCTCTGCGTTCTCGTTTTCTCTTTCTCTCTCCTCTTCCCTTCTCCTTTTCTCTCTCCTCTTTCTTTCTCCCCTCTGCTCTCCATCTTCTCTCCTCTTCTCTCTCTTCTCTCTCTTCTCTCCTCTGCCCTGTAGTTCTCCCGTCCTCTTCTTCCTCTTGGAATCACCTTCTCGCTCTTCTCACCCCTCTCTCCTTTCTGTTTTGCTTACCTCACTTCTTCTCTCCTCTGCACGCAGGTTTGCATCCCATCACAGCTATCAATGAGCTCTTTGCATGACATGTAGCCACTGCCTTCTCCTCTTCTCTCCTCTTCTCTCCTCTTCTCTCCTCTTCGCTATTCGCCTCCTGTTCCCTCTTACTTCCTCTCTTCTTCTCTCACTTCCTCGCCCCTCCTGCCCCACATGTAGCCATCGTCTTCTCTCCTCTTCTCTCCTCTTCTCTCCTCTTCTCCATTCGCCTCCTGTGCCCTCTTTCTTCTGCCTCACATGTAGCAATTGTCTTCTCCTCTTCTCTCCTCTGGCTCTTTTCGCATCGTGTGCCCTCTTTCTTCCCTATCTTCACCGTTCATTCCCCCTCTTGTTCCATTTCCTCCTTTGTTCTCCCCTCTCTGTTGCAATGACCTCTTACCTCCTCCCCCACCCCTGTCTAATCTCCTATATCTCTCACTTTCTTGCCTCCCCTTTGCTCCTCTCCTGTTGTGTTCCTCTTCTCCTCTCTGTGCTGCAGTCAGCTGCTTCCCTCATAAAAACTCCCCCATCCTTCTTTTTCCAAAAAAACTCTATCTTCTTCATAAAAGCTTGATCTTCCTTTTTCTAAGACGTCGACCTTTTTTCCGAAAACTCCCAACTTTTTTTTCCCCCGAAAACTCTAGCTTTTACGTAAAAGCTTGATCTTCCTTTTTGTGAGACGTCAACCTTTTTTTGTAAAAAAAAAGGGTCATCCTTCTCTGTGAGAGGTTAACCTTTAGGAGCGGCATGACCGCTCTTGGTAATGTGCTGGAAAAGTTGGTTTCTGGAATCGAACACTTGACCACATGTGGCACAGAGTCTTCCAATCACTGCTTCCACTACCTCTTTCCTTGCCTTCTTGGCCTTGGCTCCCTTCTTTCCCCCAACCCCCTTCTGTAGCAGTAGCTGCTGCTGCTGCTGAAGAAGTTGTTGCAGTGCCATGCCGTCAGAAAGAACTTTGTTGCCGCCCATTCCGCCGCCACCCGCCGAAATACCGACATCCTTTTTCTTTTGCTTCTTCTCCTTCCGGCTGGACTTCTGAACGTCTGCTCCATCCGTTTTGGCATTTTCAACAATGCCCTCTTTCCCATTCTCTATTCCTCTGTTAGTCCCTTCTGCCTGGCTTGCTTCTTTGCCAGCCTCCTGACCTTCCTCTGTCCTACTTGGTGCTGCCTCGACCCCGGGCGTGCTACGTCTATCCGTCTCCGCAGCGTCAGAAACAGCCTTCCCTACCCCGCCTCCCTTTTCTTTCACAGCCCTTCTTCCCTTCTTCGCCTTCTTACCCTGACTCCTACTCCCAATCTCCTCCCCCTCCCCCTCCTCCTTCTTTGCCTCCTCTCTCTCTTCTCTTTGCTCGTTACCCTCCTGAACTTCCGTTGCCACCGGATTTGCATCTTCCTTTTCGGTCACAGCCTCCGAGTTCCCCGGTTCCCTTTCCGCACTACCTGCCTTCTCCTCCGTCTCCGCAGTCTCTTCGTCTTCATGAGCTTCTTCCCGATCATGGCCAAAGCGAGTGGACGCTTTTTTTTGGCTACTCCGTTGCGACGAGGACCTTAGCATCCACTCGAGGACAGCATCTTCGTCATGATCCCCTTCGTCTTCCTCCTCCTCCCTCCCTTCAGTCTCTTCATCTTCATCATCTTCTTCTTGATTACGGGAGAGAGGAGTGGACGCCTTCTTTTCGCTACTCCGTTGTGACGAGGACCTTAGCATCCGCTCAAGCACAGCATCTTCATCATGATCTTCTTCTTCTTCTTCTTCTTCTTCTTCTTCTTCCTCCTCCTCCTTCCCTTCCTCCTCCTCTTCCTGTTCAAAATGCGACCCGGTCTTGTCAGACTTCTTCAGCTCGCTTTCTCCACCTACCTCCTCCTCCTCGTCATCCTCGTCGTCTTCCTCCTGCTGCTTCTGCTGCTCACCACCTCGACCGCCGGCATTGATATTACCGTGTATCTTCGAGTGTGATGCAGATGAAGAGATTGTTTCTCCCCCTTTCCTACTACCTCCTCCTCCTCCTCCTCCTCCTCCTCCTCCTCCTCCTCCTCCTCCTCGTACGGTTGCCCCGTCAGCGCCACATGCATCATCATCGTCACTGCCTCCACCATTATCACCATTATTGTCAGCAGCACCCGTAGCATTATCGTCAGCGTCACGGCCATCCGCTTCCTTGCTTTGCTGATCGCTGACATCAGAAGTTTGACTTTGACTTGCACTCCGTGGCGGAATGTTCCCGCGGTGACTGCAACGCTCATTCGCTTCAGCGGCCACCTCCTCCTCAGATGCACTCTCTTCTCCTTTCTCATCTTCCTCTTTGGGAAGAGCTGGGTCGGCGCTGCTGCTCTCAGCAGCTAGTCGTGCAGCAGCCGTGCGACTGCTAGGAAGAGCTTCTTCAGCGGGGGAGGAGGATGTTGTTGCCTGCTCGGTGGCCTCTTCTTCCTCGAGCAAGACCGCCTTCAGCTCCGACACCCTCTCTAGATGTTTCCGAGACTTCTCGTGGTTTTGCCACTGTTTCTCCGACTTGAAGCGTTTGCTGCACACGATGCAGAACAGCTCGTTGTGCACGTTCGCCCCGGCTGTGGTCGCCTTTGACGTCTCCGTCTCTCCGCCGCCACCGACTCGTCCGGAAGCCGCTGTGGCGGCTGTGCCACTGCGTGCCCAGTCGTAGCTCCCTGAATTCGGATCAGCAATCCCATCATCCTCATCTCCGTCAAACTCCTCCTGGTCGTCCTCGTTAACTCTGGCCCATTCCGGCTCTTCGTAACTCTGCGCTTTTTCCCATCTCTCCTTCATCATTTCCTGCCTTCTCCGCTTCTCCTCTTCCTCCTTCTCCGCCCGGATTCGCCTCTGCTCTAACTGACGCTCCAGCACACGTTTGTCGCGCTTTTTGACAAACGCCGCGAGTGCACGCACTGTCTCGTTGAATTCTTTCTTCTCTTTCTTCCTCAGCTTTTTGTTCTCCTCCTCCATGAGACGGCGATACTTGCGATTTGGAGCAGAGGCAACGACGTACTCGTCGCACCACGCGAAGTCGCGGCATGTCGCGAAGCTTAACCAGTAGTTGTAGAACGCGGAGACCTCAGCGTACGGACTGTCCTGTCGCCCAAGCGGCGGGGGATCCGGTATGCGTAACCCTTGGAAGGCGGCAGATTCTTGCTCTTGGCGATGGAGGTGCTTGAACACCTCTTCGTAAACGGAATAAAACCCTTTCCCAGTACTGCCATAGCCCGAATACGCGGACGAAGAGAAGTACGGCCAAAGGTTGATCTCATTTTCCGGCTTCGAAGATTTGTAACCCGACACACCTGACTCCGATCCATAGTAATTGTCGCCGCCTCGTACAATCGCTTCTCGGTGACTGTCGTACCACGCCCTCTCCTGCTTATCCCTCAATACATCGTACGCATTTTGGATCTCCTTGAATCGAACATTCGCCTCTTCAAGCCGATTCTGATTCTTGTCCGGATGCCACTGCAACGCTAGCCGGCGATATGCATTCTTGATGTCGTCTGCTGTTGCAGTCCTTGGTATTTCAAGAACTTCATACAGACACTGCGGCATTTTTCACTCCTCTCCTTGTATATGAGAGAAAGGTGTAATTGCTGCTGTTCCTGTGTTCTTCTTCTTCCTCTTCTTCTTCTTCTTCTTCTTCTTCTTCTTCTTCTTCTTCTTCTTCTTCTTCTTCTTCGTCGTCGTCGTCGTCGTCGTGGTCTTTAAAAGGAGGTCGGTTCAACTTGACGGCTCATGCGGAGACCCGGCAAGAAGGTCCGGAATGTAGTAGACCTCAATCCAGATCCTCCTACTTGAAAAAATCAATCCACCAGGTTGAGATTATACTTGCATGCAACTCCAATCAAGGTTCAGACTCTCCAAAGGTTTAAATCTTGCACTTGGATGCAATTCCAATCAAGGTTCGGACGACACCTTAATGAATTCAATACAATCTAATCCCAACCAAGAGCTTAAATATGGGACAAGGATTCGACGTTCTGCAATCCAACAGTCAGGACTCAATCGACGTTCTGCAATCCAACAGTCAGGACTCAACGGTTACAGCGACTCGATCCAATCCAACCTTTTTCCCACAAAGCCGTCTAATAGTCCTACTGTCTTCACCCGAATAGAATGCCAAGTCATTATCACTGCATCTGGACCGAAAGTTGTGCCAAATACAGCTATAATGACCGGGCGTTCTATTCGGGTGAAGACGGTAGTTTAATCTGTAACTCTCGTCTCACTCTTAACTTCTTAAGTATAATCTAAAACTGATCTTAATCTCATCTAATAATCTAGTACAGTTTTATCTAATCCGATAGTCCAATCACTCCAATCAATCAAGCAATCAAGCAATCAATCCAGCAAGCAAGCAAGCAGTCAGTCAATCAATCAATCAGTCGACCAACCAATCAATCAATCAATCAATCAATCCAAACGATCAATCAGTCAGCCAATCAATCAATCATCAATCAATCAATCAATCAATCAACTCAAATCAAGCAATCAATCAGCCAAGTAGCCACTTAGTCGATCAATTAATCAATCCCCTGCTCAAGGCACATGACACGTGGCAGCTTCTGAAGAATCCATGCACAACTCAGGACGAGTGGATAAGCCGCACATAAACATGTCTGCGCCGACTCTGCAAGCATTAAGGTACGATGAGCATGAGGATATCCAACAGCAGCAGCGTCTGAGGAGGAATATATATGTTGTTTGTTTTTTTTTTTTTTTTTTTTTTTTTTTTTTTTTTT